GATGGAGGGATGGAGAGGGGAGAAGGAGATGAGTCGGGAAGTGCTGGCTGAAGGACAGACTGTCCCCAAGGAGAGGGAGAGTTCTACCCCTGGGAGCAAGGCCCAACTGGCCTTCCCAGGGCTCAGGAAGCTGTTCTCCAGGGAACTGCCCCCCCAGGCAGTGGGAGATGGAGACTGTGCCCAACACACCCAACGTGTGCCCAAAAGAAAGAGGGAGGTGGGTCGGGGGTGAGGAAGAGGGGGAGAACGTGTCAGTGGACATGGAATTGGTTCAGACTGGGAAAACACGGGCTGGGGGGTGGGATCTGGAGAGATCCTGCCCCCTTCCTGCCCCTCACCTGGATGTTTCCCCTTCCCGCTGCCAGGTACGAGCTGCGGGTGATCGTGTGGAACACGGACGAGGTCATCCTGGAGGACGACGACTACTTCACGGGCGAGAAGTCCAGCGACATCTTCGTCAGGGGGTGGGTGCCCGGGGGGGACATCCCAGCACCACCTCCCCGCCCTGGGGGGGGTCCAGGGTGCTTCTGGGGTGGCACTGCAGGGTCCCAGCGCTGCCAGGCTCTCCTGAGACGGTTCCTTGCCTCCCCACCTCTCTCCCGGCTGTGCTCGCGCTGGGATCTGGAATTGGTTGGGATCTGGGAGGGCAGGAAGGCCCCTACTGAGGGATGTGGACAGGCTGGATCCATGGGAAGAGCAGGGGCAGGGAAGGGCAGGCAGGTCCTGCTGAGGGATCTGGCCAGGCTGGATCCATGAGAAGAGCAGGGGGAGGGCAGGAACACCCCTATTGAGAGATCTGGACAGGCTGGATCCATGGGAAAAGCAGCAGGAGGGCAGGAAGGCCCTGCCCAGGGATGTGGCCAGGCTGGATCCATGGGAAGAGCAGGGGCAGGGAAGGACAGGCAGGTCCTGCTGAGGGATCTGGCTAGGCTGGATCCATGAGAAGAGCAGTGGGGAGGGCAGGAAGGCCCTGCCCAGGGATGTGGCCAGGCTGGATCCATGGGAAGAGCAGTGAGGATCTGGACAGGCTGGATCCATGGGAAGAGCAGTGGGGATCTGGACAGGCTGGATCCATGGGAAGAGCAGTGGGGATCTGGACAGGCTGGATCCATGGGAAAAGCAGCAGGAGGGCAGGAAGGCCCTGCTGAGGGATCTGGACAGGCTGGATCCATGGGAAGAGCAGTGGCAGAGCAGGAAGGCCCTGCCCAGGGATGTGGCCAGGCTGGATCCATGGGAAGAGCAGTGGCTGGGCTGGAAGGGCCTGCCCAGGGATGTGGCCAGGCTGGATCCATGGGAAGAGCAGGGGGAGGGCAGGAAGGCCCTGCTGAAGGATCTGGCCAGGCTGGATCCATGGGAAGAGCAGTGGGAGGGCAGGAAGGCCCTGCCCAGGGATGTGGCCAGGCTGGATCCGTGGGAAGAGCTTTTGAGGGAAGATGCTTTCCTGCTGGAAGAGAAGATGCTGGACATCTGTGTCAGGGGGGAAAACGGCCACAGCCCCCCTGCCTGGTCCTCTCTGCCCCCTCTGACCTCGTGCCCGGTGCCCCCTCTTGGCATCTGAGCCCCGCATGCTCCGGTTCCGGCACCTGCAGCCAAACTCTGGTTCCTTCCCCGGCTCTGCTTTGATCCCGCACTCAGCAGGAGGGGG